TTGAACTTCACTGTGCAGAATGTGGTGAAACCATTTCACTTTCAAAAAATGACTTGCACTTTTGTTTCGGATTTAAGTTTTATGTATTTCTGATATTATTTGCATATGAAGTGTTTTAACTTAAAGAGCTCCTTGTTTAAAACAACAGAGGCCAGTGTTGAATCTTAGAACGCTTTCTATCAGTTGCTGATTAGGAATACTGTACCCATGAGGGTGGTGGAAGAGGGTGGGGTTGAAGAGAGAGCCACAGTAGCAGCGTATGATTGGCTGGCTGGTTGGGGAGAGACATCCTCTGGTTTGTCCTCTTCACTCTGTTCCACCTGCTCCTCGCTGGAGTCAAACAGCCTGCACAAACAGAGCAGACAAAGACTCAACAACAACGTAACACCCAGCTCACTGTGACAAAACAAGCATGAACCAATATTACATCTTAAATCAGCAATCTGCAAGATTTTGATGTAAAAACGCACCAGCTGGTGCCACATAGTGATTTCTAATGAGAAAAGTGTAAAATATTAAGACTTAAAGTCTTATGATTCAAACCCAACCCTCAGTGAAACTGTGAAACATTGTATTTCTAGTGAAATACTTTTACTTTCAGTATTTTATATAACATTTAGCAAACACATCTGTGCTCTTTACCTTTCATTTCCATCTGTTACAGATTAATTAACAGGTTAACAATGATTTTTTACCAATATTCCTTACAAATTCTCAAATTTCTTTCCAGCTCACTGCAAATGTTTTGAAACTCCAACCTAGTTGATTAGGGGTCATCTAACAAACATACTGTACTCTTTAAGTTATGGCATATTGTTTACATGCAAACATTTATGCATGATGCACACACCTGTGTTTTTGGACCAAGACACACTCCCCTCCATCCTGTGGATCCACATTATAGATGTAGAGATTCCCATCTGAGGATGCCACCAGCAGGCGAGGGAGCTTCTGAATTCTGACAAACAAAACACACAGGATTTGAATAAACCTACACATAAGTACACCTCTCCATAAACACACACCCCTCTCTTGTCTCTCTCCCTCGTGCTGCCTTACGTAGCCAGGGCGCAGATGTTCTTCAGGCCAAACATGTTGAGTCGTACTGTGGCGAAGGCTCTGTCCTGATGCATCATGTCGGACACCTGGGTGGGCAAGTAGGTGCTGGCTGCTGTGAACATTTTGCCCACATATGCTGACCAAGTAGGAGACTCCTCCTCTTGACTGGTAGGAAACAAGATGGTTAAAGGTCCAAAGATGAAGCTTATTAGTACTGCAGACATTTGGACTTTTTCTGTAAAGCTGAATTTAACATAGTCAGCCACTTGTGAGTTAATAGGCACACTACTGAATTGTTTTACATCATAAATACAGCAGAGGGTGCTGGTCTTTTTTTAAAAAAAATTTTTTACCTGGGGCTGTGCTGCTCCAGTTTAAAGATATGGACTGTCTCAGTGTTGCTGGAGGCACACAGGAACTGGCCGTCCGCGCTGAAGGACAATGAACTGATGCTAACATATCTGACACACGCACACACACACAGAGAAAAAGACAAAACAGTGAACATTATGTGTACATTTGTACTGAAAACAAAAAAGGCATGTTTTAGAAAGCCCAAACGTAGATTTTTGTTGTTCTTTCTTGATTAGAGCGTGGCACTGTGAATGCCAAAAAGTTGTGTGTAAAAAAAGCCTCTCCAGTGTTTCTGAGTCTAATGTTTCTACTATCCAGCTGCTCACATTGCTGTCTTAAACACACATGCTCGGTCATTGACACTGGAAGCTGCACAGTGCATCCACAACCAACTACCATTGGCTACTGAGCAGCAAGTGTCTTACTCACCTAAACACTAACTGTTGAGTAACAGAAGGGTCATTTGAACTGCTCACCTTCCTGTCACGAGCTCTTTGTTTAATCTCTGGCGTACAACGACCATGATGAATCATCTTCTCCACTGTCTATCCACAGTTTGCTTGTTAATACTTTGTAATAGAACTACAGGAAAATGTGAGCGCTAACCTCTTCATCCCTCGGCGGAATTCAAACAGTTTCTGTCCTTCGGGAACGCTGAAGACTCTAATAACGGTGCCCTGTAGAGGTGAACGTGGTTAGACAAGAGGCTGGTGGATGATGAAACAGAAGGAGGGATAAAAAAAAAAGATATCAAGTCCTCACCTTCTCTGAAGCGCTGGCCAGTTTGGTGCCAGAGGCATTGAAGGTGAGGGCTGCCAGGGGACTGTCATGGGCTTGGATCAACGTCAGAGTGCTCTAAAGGGGCAAACAAAACAAGTGCTTTCTAATGACCTCAGCACCAACACTGGGCTGCTTGTCCCCATTGGGGTTTCTAAGAGACGTAACAACAGCGACAATATTTCCTATGTTGCTATGTTTAGAGTTTTAATGCAGCCTCACCAGATTGTTGGCATCGTAGACGGTGATCTCTCCGATTGTGGTGCTGCCTGGGTATGCCAGGTAGGAATTACTGTGGTTGACAGAGAGAGCGCAAAGACCTACGAAGGAGCACAGAGGATAATTTAGTTGCCAATTTAAATGATATATAAAATACACTATTTGCAATGCAATATTTTGCAAATGCATGAGTACTTTTGCACTTTGAGCATCCACTTCTATCCAAGACTACACTGGTACTGTGCACCCTGGCAAGTAACTTTAAAGCAACACTGTACGTTCTGAAAGAATAAGTAATAGAGGGGTCTGTATAACAGTTTGAGTGTACCTGAGGGGTTGGTGGGTGTGTTGAGCAGGGTCTTGAGTAGTTTCATGTCTTTGATGTTGTGGATGTAGATCGACTCCTCCAGGCACACCACCAGCCGCTGAGGTAACAGTATACGGTTTCAGTGACAGTATTTGATAGCACAAACCAGAAGCGGTAACTTTAGGGATAACAGGTATGGAAAGATGTTTTTCCTGTTCTTACCTGTCTGTTGAGCCTAACAGAGAGGATGTTGTTGGAGTAGCTGTAGTTACAAATCTCTGTGCCTTTCTTGAAGTGGTAGACGTTCATTCGCCGTGGCATGGACAGACTGACCACCACCACCAGACTGCTGGAGAACAGCCGCTCCACTATATACACGTCTGGACACTCCACTGGGAAGGACAGGAGATTGGATACAGATTACATGCTTTTATTAGGCAATAGAGGCGTCACTGTAAGCTCATACCACCACTGCATGAACAGAATATTCATAAAGGCAAATACAGTCTCTTCTATTGTCAATTCCTATACAATTTCCTGTATGTAAATTACAATTTACAATGGCCTTACAGCTATCAGAGAGATTGTCAGCACCCAGATAAAGAGAACATTATTGAGCTCAAACTTCCTCAAACTGACTGAACTTTCTCTTTCGTTGTTGCTATTGAGGCTTAGAAAATCGAGCGTTCATGTGTTTACGCACTGTTTACCACAGAGTAAACGTGGCCTGTCAGAGCTGTTGTATGACCAAGGTGAACCTGACCACAGCTCAAATAATACTGACTGCTATCACTCTGCACTCTTTATGTCATCTAAGGGAGGGGATGCTGGTGTGTCACAGTGTACTTACTGCAAGCATGACTGCATTTTTATAAATGTGGCCGTGTGTGTGTGTGTGTG